CTGCAAGCTACAGTAAAAGTACTGGATGCACGAAATTCATGCTCGATAGGCGCTCGATACCCGCTCGAGCGTGAGACATAAGTCCTCACTCGAGCGTGCACTACTCCGCTCGAGTGGACTGTAAACACAGGCAAAGTACTGGATACACGAAATTTTCGCTTGAGCATAATTTTACCCGCTCGAGCGTACTGCATGAACTCAGTATGTACGCTCGAGCATGGAGTTTCTCGCTCGAGCGTGAGTCCAAAATCTGGAATTTCCAGATTCGAAGCTCAAGCTCAAAACTCAACTACAATGCACCAAATTCGATCCTTTTGGGCTAATTTTCTAGAAAACACTTGTAAACTCATAATATGACATGTTTCAAAGATCAATTTGAGAAATCAAAGCCCAAAGGTAGTTCAATTAAACACAATTTTCAAATAAACTTCAAGAACATGAAGAACAATGCAAAATTCAACACATGCATGGGTTCCTTGAAACTCCAAAGTTCTAAAACAAGATCAAATGCAAGATTTAACTTCAAAACATGGTGAGTTCATGGACTATAACAAAAATGTGGACATACATGCAAGAATTACTATGAAAACAACCTCAAACTTCATGATATGCACATGCATGCAAGAATTCCTACTCAATTCAACATTCAGAACCAAAACTTGACTCTAAACTCTAATTCACCATGAACCATGCAAGAAGTAACTCAAAATCACAATGGAGAAGATAAATTCTCTACCTTATGCCTTGAATGTTAAGGTGTAGGAGCCTAATTATACAATCCTTTCTTTAATTCTTCAAATTTCCTAGCCAAATTCTTGATGAACTCAAATTCTCCTACTCTCCCTGTCTCTCTCTCTCGAATTGGTCTTGTGGATGGAGAAGAGTGATGAAAACAAAACACCTAATTCAAGTCTAAACAATGGTTTAGATAGTGGCCCACCAAGTGGAATTTTGGTAATTTACTCAAACAAGTATAAATTAACATGATTTAATATAATTTAATCGCTCCGAACCGAATTTTAATTAAACTTGCCATAAAATTCTATAAATCCTAACTACCACATAAATCAATTCAAATTCTGATTCGGACGCCGATAAGGCTTTCAATTCGCAGTTTAAAGTCAAAAACATGAACAGATCATTTTATGGCAAACAGATAGGAACACAAAAATAATGCAATACACATGCAAATAAGATCCAAATCCTTCCTAAATTATTGTTAGGCATAATTAAGTACGAATTACGTTAATCAGGGGTCGGGGTTATTACAGTCTTCTCCCCTTAAAAAGAGTTTGGTCCTCCAAACTCGAATTACCTTCATTCTGAATCAACATTGGGTCCAATGGGAACAATTCCAGATATCTCTTCATCATGTCTTCCTCGGTTTCCCAAGTTGCATAGGTTCTTCCGTGGTTTTGCCAATCAACTTTTACCAACGGTATTTCTTTATTTCTCAACCTTTTGATCTGGCAATTCACAATCTGGATAGGTCTTTCCTCATAAGTGTTGTCATCTTTCAAAAGTACATGTGTCGGTTCAATGACGTGGAGTGCATCTCTCAAATATTCTCGTAGCATCGATACATGAAAGACATCATGCATATGTTCCATTACGGGAGGCAAGGCTACCCGATACGATACTGGATTGATCTTTTCGAGAACTTCATAAGGTCCAACATACCTTGGCGCCAACTTGCCCCTAACACCAAACCGAGTTTGACCCTTCATCAGGGTCACCTTTATGAACACATGGTCTCCAACTTCATATTCCCTATCAATCATTCGAACATCGGCATAGCTTTTCTGCCGACTCTGTGCAGTTTTCAGACGCTGCTGGATCAGCTTCACTTTCTCGGTTGTTTCTTGCACAAGTTCCGGTCCCAACAAAGGTCTATCACCAACTTCAGCCCAACATATCAGAGAACGACACCTCCTTCCATATAAAGCTTCGTAAGGAGCCATTCCGATGCTTGAATGGTAACTGTTATTGTACACGAATTCAGCTAATGGCAAGTAGGTCTCCCAATTCCTCTGGAAGTCTAACACACACATTCTGAGCATATCCTCCAGATTTTGATTCGTTCGTTCAGTTTGGCCATCTGTCTGTGGGTGATAGGCATTGCTTAGCCTCAATTCAGTTCCCAAAGCCTGTTGCAAACTCTGTCAAAACCTAGATACAAACTTCGAGTCCCTATCAGACACAATAGATACTGGCACTCCATGCAATCTCGCAATTTCAGTCATGTAGATATTAGCCAATTTATCAGCGTTATAAATAGTTTTAATAGGCAGAAAATGGGCAGACTTAGTTAAACGGTCAATTATAACCCAAATAGAGTCCATATCTCGAGAAGAACGAGGCAATCCCACGATGAAGTCCATTGTAATGTGCTCCCATTTCCATTCCGGTATTGGGAGTAGTTGTAGCAAACCAGTGGGTCATTGATGTTTAGCTTTAACCTGTTGGCAATGTAAACATCTAGCCACAAAGTCTGCAATACCCTTTTTCATTCCAGGCCACCAAAAGTTCTGTTTCAAATTATGATACATCTTCATGTTCCCCGGGTGCATGGCAAACTTACTGCTGTGAGCTTCGGTCATCACACGTTCTCTCAAGTCACCACAATCAGGTACACAAAGACGGTTCTGAAATTTTAGCACATTATTTTCAAATACAAACCCTGGCCTCGGCTTGGAATCAAGTTCTTCCATGACCTTTTTCATGTATTCGTCTTCAAGTTGCCTTTCTCGGATTTCTTCAATGATCGCAGGCTGAGCGGAGATAGCGACTAGTATTCCGCCTTGTTCCCGTATCACAATCTCGATTTCATTCATTTCCAAATCACACAGCAGTTCTCTCTGGCTGGTAAGCAGGCATGATAAAGTTCTCATTGATCTTCGGCTCAAAGCATCTGCCACGGTATTAGCTTTCCCTGGGTGATACAAAATTTGTAAGTCATAGTCCTTGATCAGTTCTAACCACCGCCTCTGTCTCATGTTCAATTCTTTTTGGGTGAAGAAGTATTTCAAGCTTTTATGGTCGGTATACACTTCACAAGTTACCCCATACAAGTAATGACGCCAGATTTTCAAAGCGAACACTACAGCCGCTAGTTCAAGGTCGTGTGTCGGGTAATTCTTTTCATGAGGACGAAGTTGTCGAGAAGCATAGGCGATTACTTTCCCATTTTGCATCAATACACAGCTCAACCCTTTATATGAAGCATCACTGTAAATCCAAAACCCATCGGTACCATTAGGTAAGGTTAGGATTGGTGCAGTTACCAGCCTGGTCTTTAGTTCTTGGAAAGCTGATCATTCCAGTCAAATTGTACATTCTTCTGTGTCAATTGTGTTAATGGCATTGCAAGCTTTGAGAAATCTTTCACAAATCTCCTATAATACCCAGCCAATCCCAGAAAACTTCTAACTTCTGTCACATTCATCAGTCTAGGCCAATCCACAGTAGCTTCAATCTTCTGGGGGTCTACAGAAACACCATCCCCATTAATTACATGGCCCAGGAATGCTACACTGTCAAGCCAGAATTCGCATTTGGATAATTTAGCATACAGCCTCTTTTCTCTCAAAATCTGCAAGGCAGTTCTCAAATGGTTCTCATGTTCCTTCTTGTCTTTAGACTAAATCAGAATGTCATCAATAAACACAACAATGAATTCATCAAGATATCGTTTGAAGACCCTATTCATTAGGTCCATAAAAGCTGCGGGTCCATTTGTTACCCCAAAAGGCATTACTAAAAACTCATAATATCCGTATCTAGTTCCGAATGCAGTTTTCTCTACGTCTTCTTCTTTAACCTTTAACTAATGATATCCGGATCGAAGGTCAATTTTTTAGAACACTTTGGCCCCTTGGAGTTGGTCAAATAAATCATCTATTCGGGGTAATGGATATTTGTTCTTAACGGTTACCTTGTTCAATTCCGGTAGTCAATGCACAATCTCAAGGATCCGTCTTTCTTTTTAACAAATAATAATGGAGCACCCCAAGGTGAGGTACTTGGACGAATAAATTCCTTGTTTAGGAGTTCCTGAAGTTGGGCTTTCAGTTCTTTCAGTTCAGAAGTCGACATCTTATATGGAGTCTTGGAGATGGGTTGTGTCCCAGGTGTTACATCAATGGTGAACTCTATTTCCCTATCAATCAAGTCCCTGGGCAGATCATCGGGAAACACATCAGGAAAATCATAGGCCACAGGGATAGCTTCTACCTTAGTGTCATCAAGTGATGCAGTCAGTACACAGCACAAGTATCCCCTATATCCTTTCCTAAGCAATTTTCTGGCTTTCAGGGCTGAAATCAGATATGGGGGAGAAACTACCCCGTCCCCAGTAAAGGTAAATTCGGGCATACCCGGTGGCTTAAACACAACAGACTTACTTGCACAATCAATGGTAGCACAGTATTTAGTCAACCAGTCCATTCCCAAAATACAATCAAAGTGAATAATGTTCAAGGGTATTAAATCAACATACAATGTCATCTCTCCAATTACAAGATCACATGCCGGATAAACACAAGCACACATCATGGAACCCCCAGATGGTATAGATACAGATAGTAAGCAGTTCATGGGTTCTAACAGTCTAGTTAATTTCTGAGAAAAAGCATGCGATATGAATGAATGTGTGGAGCCAGAATCAATCAGCACATACGCATTCTGAGCACAGATAGAAATAATACCTGACACTACCGATTCAGTATTTTGCACATCTCCGGGCACTAAAGCGAATACTCTCCCTTGCCTCAATGCTTCATTCTCATTGTTGCCCCTGGTATTACTTCTGAAGTTTGATTTGGTCACTGAAACAGACCCTACTGAACTGGTTGCGGAGTGACTGGTATTCCCTGATCCATTGGACAATCTTTCATCATATGGCCCACTTTGCCACACCGGTAATAGACGCCTGACGCGCGATAGCATACTCCTCTATGCCTCTTGCTACAATCTGCACAAGTCGGTATAGACCCACTACTCTAGCTGGAACTGCCGGAGGATCTTGTGTTTTGTCTCTTTGAAAACGATCGGCCCCATCTAAAATTGTACCCAGTCCTCTTGCCCTTCCATTCGATTGGTGGGTTTACAGTTTGTTTCTTTGCTGCTATAGTAGCTTCTGCCATTAATGCCCTGTCAAGTACCTCCACGTAAGTAGGCAGTTTCAGGACACTTACTCGATCAAATACTTCTAAATCCAGGCCTCCCTCGAACTTTCGTGCCTTCTTGTAATCCGTGTCGACCATGTGTGGAGCAAAACGAGCCAGTTCAGTAAACTTAGCTTCATATTCAGCTACGGCCATTCTGTCTTGTTTAAGTTCCTGAAATTTTGAAACTTTCTGGTTTCGGAAGCACTGAGGAAAGTACTTGTCGTAGAAAACTGAGTTGAATTGAGTCCATGTCATATTCTCATTACCATTCCGAACTAGTAACCACCATCTTCGAGCTTCATCTTTCAGAGTGTGGGTGGCCAACAAAACCTTTTGCACTTCAGAGCAGGGAAACACTTCAAACAATTTTTCCATCTCTAGTAGCCAAGTTTCTTCCTTCAGTGGTTCAATGCCGCCTAAGAAGGTTGGCAGTTTCATCTTCATGAATTTTTGAGTCATGTTAATCATGTCGTTGTTGCCCATTTCAACTTGAGCTGGTTGGGGCGGAGGTGGCGAGGGTTGTCGCCTCTGTTGTTGCATTAGCACTTCAGTTAAAGTGGCAAGCATTTGTTCCATTATGTTCATTCGAGCATCCGAGGAGCCCGCCGTGTCATCACCTCTTGTATTGTCCATTTGCTCTAGGTAAACACAAATTTATAAATATTGGCAATTAATCTTCATTATTTTATCCAAGTTCACATGAATATGCTAGGTTACACTTTCACTTTCCAACAATGCTCAAAGACATGCAGATGAAATGTCCCTACTTCTTACTAGGACATCCTGAGCTCATATGGACTTGTGTGTGCGGTATAACTCGTGCTCTGATACCACTCTGTCACGACCCAAACACGCCCCTATAGGTTTAGCGTCGTAACCGGCCAGTAATCCTCGAATTACCAAAGGCCTCTTAGCAGATTAGCAAGTAATAATGTACAATGTGCTACAACTAATAGTAAAAAAGGCAAGTAAAGCAGGAACATCTGCATCAGTGCTCTCGGACTCAAGATCGGGAAGCCCTCTTCATCCTCTTTGCTTGAGCAGTCTCTGCAATACCTCCACCAGCACCATCATCTGAATCAGAGCTATTATCCTCGGGATCCTCCCCGACATCACCTCCACTCTCAAAACCAAAACCGGAGCCCTCCTCTCTGTCTGCGGATGTCTCTGACTGAGGATACGCAGACTCCTCCTCACTGGACTCCTCGTCATCTATGACGGGTGCTCTACGCTTGCCTCGTCTGCGAGACGAGTCCCCTCTCCTAACTCCTCGAGAAGGCCTGGATGGCCCGACCTGTAGTGGTGGTATTTGAAAAGGACAATTTGAGTACATTAGCCAACATGTATATCAGATGCAGAGATAAGAATGCTACATAGAGTGGGTGTATGCAGATACAATGTATGAATATGGTATGTGTCAGATGTACTCTACGTATACAGTCAAGCAATGCAGTGAAATGGTTAAATACAGCATGTCATCAGAAGTATGATAAATGCGAGAAAATTGAAAAATACCATAACACCGGCGATGAACAGCTGTGTCTCCCTCCGCAAGACCATGCCCTCAAGTGAGGCCACCAATTCGAGCAGATCATCAGAATACTCCCTGGGAGGCTGCAGATACAAGCTTAAGTCATCAATGAATAAATGAATGCCTAAGTATCTGAGTAATAAATGAAAAGAAGTGCAACATACCGGTGGTGAGTCAGGATCACTGACATATTGGTGATCGGGCATAGGAGGCTCTATTGGAATCGGGTAAGATGACCTGTATCTCCATCTAGTCAACTCGGTCAGAAGATCTAGCCACCTGGCGTGCTGATAAGTCGGGGGAATCTGTCTAGCCCTACTCCTCAATGTGTCGGCCCTGCTAGACGAAGGAACGTCTGCAGCCTGGGCTCGAGCTGACGATGATGCACCAGCAGCCCTCCTAGTAAGAGTACGGACACCCATTAGTGGGGGCATCAAGTACGTGTGGCGGTAAGTCGCATACTCCCCCTCCTCCGTGTGCAGAGCTGTATCAGTACCCAACATAGCGATATTAACCTCCTCGGGAGTGAGTCTCTCAGAGGACCGCATGTCATCTAGAGGTGCTGAAGGGACACTCTGCTCAGGGACGCCCATCGTTTGGCGAATGAAACGATCTCCCAGAAACCAGGCCCTGCCAACTGGCCCCTCAAACAAAGTCCTACATTGAGAAGAAACCCATGCCCCCGGGAATTGGAAACGGATATCTCCTCCCAAGGGTGCCCAGGGCCGCCAAGCGATCTGAGGATAACAAATGCATGAGCCAATCAGATGTCATAAATATGCGAAATGAATCAAAGCTGAAAATATGAAGAACTGAGAGTTCTGAAGTACCTCGGTCACCCGCACCGTGTCAAAAAACTGTCGCAAGAAGGGCAGAGTCTCTCGAGCCCTTGCCCGGCATCGACCCTCAAATACGTGAGAGTAAGGGATCATAAGAGGCACCTCCACCTCGAACTCTGGGGCTAGCATCGGAAAGTACTCTTAAATCCATAGCTATGAAAAACAGGGTAGTGGCCATCAGAATACAAAATATACAGAGTGCTGAGTGCAGAATGTAGAATACAGAATGTAAAGTGTGCCGTGTGCAGTGTACAGATAATGAAAAGCAGAAATGTAAATTAAGAGGACAGAAGGTACCTCCCAGGCTCTCCAGTAGCAACCAACTATGTTCCCCCGTCCGTGGGAGGTCGCACTCATATAGCAGTAGAAGGTAGCGAGGCCGGCGCCACCCCAGTCATACTGGCTGACCTGTGATAGGTCCACCAAAGCACTGAGCAGATACAGTCCAATTGTGTTCCCTCTGTCAGAGAACAAAGTGGTCCCAAGGAGGAACATCAAAAAACCTCGAGCGTACTGCTCTATCTCCTCCAGAGTCTCGGGCATACTCCCCTTATACTACACGGGGAACCAAGTGTACCTGACTCTGTCCGAAGATCGGTCAATCAGTGGGCGAGCTCCCAACAGATAGATCCAGGTAGCCTCCCACTCGCCCATATCCTTGTCGTAGGGGACCGGTCGGCTGGCCACATCAAGGCCAGTCAGCATCGCAAAGTCGAACGGGGTCATCGTCATATCCCCAGTAGCTGAGAAGTGGAAAGAGTTGGTGGTGTCCCACCATCTCTCCACGAATGTGTAACAACCCTCGTCACTGTTTACCGAATAACCACTGATTACCGTTAAACTGAAACTGATTATGACTGATAAGTGAACTGAATAAACTACTGAACTGACTGACTGAAATTGAAACTGAATTGACTGTGTATGCCTGTTTTATTGTAATTCTATCTGTTTGGTTATTTGATTATCTGTTCGTGTCTTTGTGTTTAAATTGCTAATTGAAGGCCTTATCGGCGGCCGAACCGGAAACCGAATAGTGTTTTATGATCATCGTGATTTATGTGAAATTATAGGATATTTATCTGAAAACTAATTAGGTACGATTAAATTAGATTAAATATTGTTAAATTGCATTGTTCTACTTATTCACAATTTTGCCATCCCTAGTGGATCACTTAGGCAACATACTTGGAGGCTTGTATACTTGTAAACAAAACATTTCTTCTTCCATTTCTTGCACACAACCGACCAAGAGAGTGAGAGTGAGGGAATTGAGTTCAAGTGAGAGTCTAGCTTAGAGACTTGGAGAATTTGTAGGAGATTTGCCTAAATTGAACTTCTACTCTTGTAATTGAAGACCTAGGTAAGGAAATTCAACCCCTCATTATTGTGTTTAAATTGATTCTTGCATGGTTCATGTCTGATTGAAGAGTTAAGTCAAGAATTGGTTCATTAATGTTGAATTGGAGCTCATTCCATGCATGAATGTTTGAATTGCCGAATTTTGAGTTGATTCCATGGAGAATTGCCTCATGCATGCTCATGGTTATGTTAAGTCCATGTTTTCATCTTGTTTTTCGAACAATTGGCTTCTTAGAGCATCAAATTGAAGCTTTGAAATGGTTTTAATTCATGCATGTTTGCATGTTCTTCATATTCATGAAAATTGGTTTGAAATTGAGTTGTTTGAAACACCCTTGGGCTTTGATTTTACAAATTGAGCTTTGAATCATGTTAAAGTATGAGTTTTGATGTGTTTTCTGGAAAATTGGCCCAAGAGGATCGAAATTTATGTTTTAAAACTTGGTTTTGAGCTTGAGGTTCAAATCTGGAATTTCCAGAATTTGGACTCACGCTCGAGCGAGTTGACTGGCACTCGAGCGTGGAAATCGTGCTCCCAGCATTCTTGTTCTGTTTTGAAGTCCACTCGAGCGGAATAATTGACGTTTGAGCGGGACATTGTGTCTTATGCTCGAGCGGGTGTCGAGCGCCCAATCGAGCGTGATTTTCGCCTATCCAGCACTTTTGACTGTTTTGCAGAACGCTCGAGCGGGTAAGTCTACGCTCGAGCGGAAACCTTTGTCTGCATGTCCGCTCGAGCGGAGTAACCAACGCTCGAGCGTGACCCCTGTTTTCTGAAAAGTCTGAAAATATTTTTAAAGTGCATCTTTGCATCCTCATCTCATCTTAGGCATTATTAGGCCTAGTTTAAGGCATCTTAATGAGGACATAGATGTAGAACACACGGAGGCAAATTAGGGATTAAGTTATTATTTTCCCAACTGTGTAGCTTAGTGTGTGTTCAATCTGTAACTGTGTAGGGTTGGCGACTGGGGACGCGCTCTAGCTTTACTGTAGCCCAGAACTCTGTGAGTAACAACTGTGTAAAGATATATTCAAAATGATTATCTTCTGAACAATTGAACTGTACTGCTTTCTGAACTGATACTATTGATTGAATTAATGTATGTCCTATATTCTGAACTGTACTGTGGCATCCTTAGCAGCTACTGTTTACTGTTTACTGTTACAGAGATCTCTGTCGGTTCCCTTGTTGGAACCACTACTGTTTACTGATAGATGGCCATCATTTACTGTTCGGTCTTTTAAGACCTACTGTTTACTGTACTGTTATGCTAATGGATGTACCACATATGACTGTATCGACTGAAATACTGATTTAATGAACTGTTTTCACTACTGTAAGGACATTCATTCTTAACCCCTTTACGCATTGTGTTATTCACTGGGCTTTAGCTCACTGCTCATATATATATGTAGGTGTACAGGCATCAGACCGCAGCTAGAAGCGTCAGGGTAAGCTCTAGTTTTGTCGAGCCAACCTATGTGCCTCAATGCGAGGTTCCGAGCCTGTCAAGCTACGGCTTAGGGGTGTTTTTAATTTCCCCGTCTGTCACTGTATCTGTTTTCATAACTGTATAGACTGTTTACTGTACCGTACTGTTTAATAGGGATTAGATCCCTGAACTGAATGAATGTATATATGTACATACTGTTTTGTCTGACTGTATATATTTGAATGAAGCCTTTTTGCATACAGACTGTCACAGCTCATTGGACACTGTTTATTTACTGTATTGGCTTCCGCCAGCCCCTGTACTCTGTCTTACTGTACTACTGTTAAGCAGGCCTTCGGTAATCTCGGATTACTGGCCGGTTATGGTGCTAAACCCATAGGGGCGGGTTTGGGTCGTGACATAGTGCCCCCATCAAGGTCCTGTCGCAGGGTAGCGAGATAGCCCCGC